AAAAAAAAAAAAAAAAACAAAGAACACTGTGATGGAATAACATTTTATCATCCCAATATCTTCTTGTTCTTTTCTTTCTCTTCTTCCTTGATTATCTTTGTTTGCAGTTCTTTCTGGTCCCAGTAGAGAACTTTGGTCCTTATCTCTCCATGCAAGACAAGTCACTCCACCTTCTTATTTAAGGATAAGCATCACTGTGATCAAGTCTCTAGCTGCTGGAGCGACACTGTTCAGAAAAGAATCAGAATTCAGAACCTACTATTTCATGACCCTGTGTAAGTCTCATTTTTTGTTTTGGCTCCTTTCTTGTGGTGGCCCCCTCCCCCCTTTGCAATTCTTTTTTGTTTTCTGTAATGGCGTATGGGAAAGAATCTTATCTAATCCATCATTACTTCCTGCTTCCAAATGTTTGTTTTTTGTTTCTGCCGCTCGCTCCACTCACTCTGCTATTTTTCTCTCTCTTACTGTATATTTTATACATGTTCTTCCCCCCCTAACTGCATATTTTATATACTTTTCTTTTTAATTTAAGTCATGAGATAGACATTTGCCATTCATCATCATCTGAGATTGTATATAATTAATTATTATTGTGTTTTTTTAGTTCAATAGGTAGAGGTGTAGATTCAAACTTTCGTCGATGTAACAGTTCAAGCCTACCGCTAGTAGATATTGTCATCTTTGGACTTTCCCTTTCGGATTTCCCTTCAAGGTCTTTAAAACGCGTCTACTAGGGGGAAGTTTCTATACTCTTATAAAGAATGCTTTGTTCTTCTCCCCAACCAATATGAGATCTCACACAAGATCTTAGTTGAGTCATGCTCGTGTTGGCATTATCTGAAATTATATATCTTCTGTTATAATACTTATAATTATTCATTCAACGGTTGTAGTTGTTCTATGGTAGTCATTTTCAGGTTCTTTAAAGTGGGTGAGTGGGATGATGTTGGTTGTAACTTGTTTATTTAAGTTCAACCACATGTGTGGTTGGAGAATTTGAAGCTTTGATTCCTTAATTAAGGGTATATGCCATTAAATGAAGGGTATATACCTTATAGGAGGCCTGAATAGGTAAAACAAAGCAAAGTATGCTGTTGGGTTTACTTCCATTAATTCCATCCCTCTTCTTAATATATACACAAGGAGGGGTAAAAAAAAAAAGTTCATTTTATCATCAATACATAATTATTGGAATGAATCTAACTCCAGTCACTTCTACATTTCAGGTCCATCCATTAATGAACAACAGAAGAACTCATATATTGAAGGTGCAGCGCAGCTCCATAATGGAAATGGCATCGAATCTAGGTATTCTAAACTTGCATTTCCTGAAACGAGTCGATTTTCAGTAAACTTATTGCATAGTAAACTGTGTTTTAAGCGAAAATTTACCCAAAAAGGAAGGATTTAGAGGCATATTTGTGAAGAGTGAAAGATGGGGGAGAGTATTTTGGTAGGGTCATAGCCAATAGGCATAGGGGGACAAAGATGAGTGTGTGGGGCTAATAAGGAAAGCCAGAGGGCACCCACCCCTTCCTTTCTTCTCTTCTCTTAGAAAAACACACTTGTGAAGGGTAACTTTCAGGAGCTGCAAATTGGTTAGGCACAGCAGAGCATATAGAGTAAGAAGAGAAGATATGATGTTTGGAAGGAAAAGAAATGGCATGTGCTTTGCTTTGAAGTAGCTTTTCATTCTTTCATTCGTAGTGAGCACACAAGTGATGGTGGTCCTAATAAGCTTTCTAACTAACACCCTTTACTGCATTGATTATGACTGCCCCTTTCCTATGCTCCTCCTCCTCTCCTGTTCTCTTAAATGAGGCCCTTCTTGACAACACACCATATTTGATGTGCAACGCAATGACAATGACCTCCATTTAATCCTATCCTATCCCTCGTTACGAGTGACCATATTTGATGTGCAACGCAATGACAATGACCTCCATTTAATCCTATCCTATCCCTCGTTACGAGTGAGTTTTTTTTTTTTTTTTTTAATTTCTACTCCATGGATAGAAGATGTATCAATCTCAATTAATTTAATTGGTGTTAAATAAATATTATTGGATAAAGTCATGAAACTAATGAAAAGATAATAAATATTGGATCCGTACAATTGATTGAGACTTTGCAAAAAAAAAAAACAAAATATATATATATATATATATAAAAGATCCGCTAAATATTGGTGGGAGACTTTGCATTAATTTGACTTGTAATAATATGAATAAATTTTAAAAAATTGCAAATATGGTAACATTGTTTTAAATTTCATAGATATTTGGTCAATCTTATTTTTAGAAAAATTATCCCTGGTAAATTTTTTTGAAAATTATAGTATTAAACAAAGTTTTTTTTTTTAATTAAGTTTTTTTTTTTAATTATTAATATTTATTTAGAAAATATGACGGTAAATGAATGGCTGTAATTTATTCGTGTGTTTTTAGTGTCTTTATTTAAAATAAATTATGTTTCTGAGTGTCTTTATTTAAAATAAATTATGTTTCTATTTAAAGTATTTAATTCTCAACTTGCCCCTTGTGGTATTGTGAGAATAAAATCAAATGTTTTTTAACTTATAATTTGAAATTGAAAAGAAAATGAAACTAAAATACAAGTTAATGTTTTAATTATAGCTACCGAAAATGAAACTAAAATATAAGTTAATGTTTTAATTATAGCTACCTGTTTAAGCATATTATTTCTGTGATTTATATAAGTTGGAAGTTATACCTGTTGCATATTATTTCTGTGATTTATGAGTTGAAGTTAGAGAAAAGACTGTAGAAAAAATCTGGTAAAAAAGGAAGTGGTAAAGACCTAAATAAGAATGGAGCATTGATTTATTCGTTCAAAATCATAACAAATCATAGCGATCACACCTACCTAAGATATTTTCATTTACGAGCTTCCTACACCAAAGTTTGTAGGATCATATATTCGTCTCGTATTTCTATTTAAGTGGAGGACTCCAAGTAAGAGACGATCTATTACTTAGTATAATGGTTAAGAAGTCCTCAACAAATGATAGGCAAGACACCATTCATTGAAAATCGACGAACCATTCATTGAAAATCAACGAACGAACAGTTGTTGATCTCGACTGAGGTCAGCCACCGAGCAGATAACAAAATCTCGACCATCTTTATTTTGAAATTAAGAAGTATAGAGGTACATTAAATATGACAAATCTAGAGTAAGTTGGAAACTGAAAACACTTATGATTGTCTCACATTATATAACCAAGAAAACAACGTAACCAAATGATCATTAGCAAACAGCATAAAAATCAACTCCTACCAATCTAACAAATTTAAAAGTTTTATGGTACCAACCAACCTCAAGCTTGTTTCGTGTAGAAACGTAAGGCAACTGCCAATCCCAAAATTGCAAGCGGGACGAGGAACTGGAGGAGCTTGATGATGAACTCCGACGTCTTGTCCTGATTGTAATGAGGCTGTTTCGGAGGCGTGTATGCGACCTTCTTTGGAATTGTCGAACCATCAATCTCTCCAACATAGTATTGATCCATCATTTCTCTTGCGTTGTCACTGTGCCCCACATCTTCAAAATCGTCCGTTGCATCTTTTCCTGAGCGAGAAAAACCGAGTGATCGTACCGTGTAAACGTTAGGTGTTGTTGTTTCGAAATGTACAAATTATGGACAGTGGGTTAGGATTGAAACTCTATAAGCTGAAATAGCATACCTGTGGCTGATAACAAAACATCATCACCTCCAGGATGGTCATCTAAGAATTTGGTCACGTCATATACCTGTTCAAATAAACAAATGAACCAAAGAGTTCAGAAAGCTGGTGTACTCAGTTGAAAGAATCTGGTATAATTCTACACGATTCTATAACGAACGCATATCCTAAGCATAGCTCAACTCGTTATTGCATGTACCCCTTGACCAAGAGCTCAAAGCAGGTTCTTCCTTTCCTATAAGAGCCCAAACTCATCACTAGCAAATATTATCCGCTTTCGTCTGTTACATACGTCGTCAGCCTCACGGTTTTAAAACACGTCTACTAGGGAGAGGTTTCTACATCCTTATAAGGAATGTTTCGTTTTCCTCTCCAACTGATGTGGGACCTCACATTTCCGAAGATTGACCCATAATAGTTTTTTAAGTACTAAGATGACTGCCTAAGAATTTGAACCCAAGTCCTCGGTAGGTATTCTCAACGTTTAAACATCTCGAGCCATTACCACTAGGACTATACTTTTATGCATGAAGAATACCAATCAAAATCAGTTGAACATACACAATAAAGGCATTTTTAAGTAAAGAATCTGTCCAATGTTCATATTAGGACACACTAGTTCTTAAGTTCAAAGAATTCATCGACACATTCCGATCATTCTAAAAATATGA